AAGAGCAAATAAATAAAGCATATAATCGTTTATTCCTTCAATTAAAGTTAAAAGCTCAGCAAGAGAAATCTACTATGCTTTCAATTTATGTATTCCAACCAGATACTAGGATTGAAGAAGTTGAAGAAAACTGTGCAGTAATCACTTATAACTGGTTAACTAAAAATTTTGAACTTAATAAAATCTTTTTGCTTGTAAAAAAACTGTACCCTAGAGATTATTCTGATAATCCCATTGATGCTTTAATAAAATGGGAGTTGTCTAATTTAAAATTTTATAGAGATAATGGCTTTGATCTTTCCGAGCACCTATTATGGTATGAAGGGGAAGAATATCAAAAACTTGCGCAAAATCTTATACAAATGCATGATAGTAAAAATAATTATTTTGAAGATTTACAAAATTTAATACAAAAAAGTTTAGGTAAGTGGGCTAAAGAAAACGCCAATATCCAAGAAATATCTGAAATTATCAAAGCTATTGAAAATGCTACCGAAAATCTTTGTTATGTAGTAGATTTTTTAAAAGATAACATAGATTTAATACAAAGAGAAATACAAATATGCAAATAACATTAAGCAACTCGACAATTATTGACATTCAAAATTCAGAGAAAATTAATTGTAATTGTATTTATCATAAAATAGCATTTCTTAAATTAGTAGAGAAACCTTTTATACAATTTGTTAACAATTATAATAGTTATAAATATGATGATAGTTATAAAGATACTGATATCAAGGCAGATGGAAAATTCTTTAAGGAACTTATGCTAGATTCTTTACCATTTAGCATATTTTCCAAATTATTGCAACTATTCCAACCTTTAGAGCATATCACATGTAGTTATCGTATTATATCTATGAAAGAGTATATGAATTTAGTAGATAAAATTGCCGTTAATGCATATAATATATTAAGAGAAATTCAGTTTAATGATGATTTAGAGCATAAAGCCCTTAAATCATTTCTAATATATGCTTTGAATGTAATAATTTATTTGTTGAGCGGCTAGCTTCATTTTTAGATCCACGTTCTAAATCAGATGAGATTTTACCAGTAAGTTTATGTACGTTATTATTTATAAACTAATAATTATATTTAACATACTTCATATAACGCACTAGGTGATTAGAGAATATGCGCTAAGAAAATGCAGTGCCTATTATTTAAAAAATACATCTAAACATTTAGACGAATCACTACAGGCAGCGAATAAAGAATTGGAATGTTATGTTAATCGTCCACAATTATTATTAGATAGTAATGTGAATCCGTATGAGTGGTGGCAAGGTTCAAACCAAATTCTTCCCGGATTAGCTACTCTTGCAAGAGAATGTTTGCCTATATTAGCGGTGGATGA